CGCTTAATTTATGCCTTTCCTCTCTATCAACAAGGGAAAGTATAAGTTAAGCTATGTCAAAACTGATCAAAAAAAGAACCCCAGAAAGTTGTAAAACTGAAACAAATATATGACCTCTTGCCGTGCTGCCTTGCCCCTTGCAATATCCAACTCAAACGGATCCATATCGTAAGCAAACAATTTTGGTACTTCTTTGTCCATTTCTGTACGGCCAATTATACGTAGCATCGTCGATTCATCGAGCTCCTCGTCTTTATCCCGGCTTAATTTCAAATCTGACTGGATGCATTCTGGAACTATGACTTTTAGTTCATTCAAGTAAGTTTTATGACAAACCTCTGACAAAATTCACGAGCCCATCGGAAAAAGAAAAAATGCCTTGTGGTGTTAGGCAGTCCAGTTCAAGCTCTGTATCGAGACGTCGGAAATTATTTTCTGTAGGCCAAATCTGACGTCCTAGTTTTGCTGAAGGACGATGAATCCAACATGGAAAAGCAAATACAGCTGAGGAATCTGCTACTGAATCACTGCTGCTCAAATTCTCCTTTAACTGTGATGCAAATTTCACCAAATTTTCGATCGCCTGCAAAGTCGAGAACAAAAAAGTCAAGCCACAATCAGTAATCGATTTAGCAGGGTATAAATAAAAAAGCAAGGCGTTGTGAATCGGTGTAGTCTGTGGACACTCTCCGATTTACACTTATGCACTTAAAGTGTGTCCAGGACAACTAAGAATGTGGAAAATCACGCGGGGCCAACCCGGTCATGAGACAGCTGCTTCTCCATGTCCATAACAAACGACGGAAGCAAAAAGAGTAAAAATCTGCGCCCAAATATCTTGATGACAGAAAATCGCGGAAGAGAGCGATACTGGAGAGGCAAAAAGCAGAAGCGCAGCCATCTTGCATAGACGATACGATAATCGAACAAATTCGAAGACGGCACTGAAATTTCGGGAAATTACTGTGGCTGAAAAGAGAGATTTTCACTAGTGGAATGCGAGGTGCAGTTTATGCGGTGTAGTACAATCACCGGCGTTGTCATGGAAGAAGCGTATTTACGGGTCACATCCAAACGAACGAAGTGCAATGCACCCACAACCCCATAACTACAGAAGCAGCAGTGGCAAAAAGACCACCGCCTTCTCCCTCCATTCTGGATATAGCAGTGGCCGCCAGTTCTGTCTTCAAGTCCCTACCGCCGAAGTATTTTTCGGAAAAAATCCATCAGCTGATATGACTTTTTCTCGATTG